TTTTTCAGGATTTCCCTAGATATTTTTGTAAACATTTTTGTTGGTGGTTGTGTTGGAGTTGTTTCATTTAAAAAAATCTTGACATATAGGCTGTTTAAAAGTAAGGTGCAATCATTATGAGACAGAGAAAACTTTATGCCCAAGGTTGGGTTAGACCTGGAACTGAAAATGATGCGTAGGAAAAGAAGAGCGAAGAGGACCAACAAAGGGAAGAAAACCAAATGAATTCTCCAGATAAAGATTCTACAAAATCAACGAACAAGCCAACAGAAATACTCTGGAATAAACCATGCACTTGAGCATTGTTATTTCAGCAGCCAGCTAGTTTTGCAGGTCAGCATGGATAACCCTGGCTTTTCAGGGCTTGACGAACATTATTAAGGTTCTGACCTTAAACTGAAATTCCTTGAACTCTCAGTACCTGTGAGCTTGCACCCCAAATTCCTGCCCCTGGCACGCACATTACCAGTCACAAGGAACCAGCATTAATGAGTGCTCTGGCAGGAAGCATAACTTATAGAGAAGTTAACAGGTTCTGAGAAAGACGGAGATAAACACAGGCGGCAAACCACTGTCTTTGAGCCGCTTGTCCTTTAAGTATGTCGAGATCCAGACCTTTAAGTGTCACTTCAGTGATCTCAAAACCAGGAATCTTATGTTTGCCACTATTCCAGGTAACCATCTCTCTTTCGGGGAAAAGACTTTCAAAGGCACTACTCTAAGGATCTGATTTGTTATGGATTTGTGGTTTGGGTAACAACTACTCCAACATTTAGATGATTTCTTTAAGGAAGTGTTATCAGCCTCTTATGATTTATAATAGTTATTTCTTAAAGATACAGAAAAACAAAATGGCTAATGACATTACTCCTAATGTCTTCTTTATTTAGTTCTATTGCTATTGAAGTAATAGGATGCAATTTAATCTTTAACTTTGCTATGCTATAAAATTTTTAAAAATCAGAAGTGCTGTTGACATAAAATGCTATGTCAGGATTAATTGAAGACATGTTTACTGTTGCCGGAAGCCATATTTAAGGCTCAACATTTTTTCAGTGCTGAACAATACAGACAGAACTAACTTGAGAGTTTATTTTGATTTCTCTGCTCCAGCATCTCATCCTAATATCTGCACCTCTGTATCTGTGTTACTTGAGTACAATGTATCTGAAAGACTTAGGTCTGAAATATATTAAGACTTCATTCCCCATTTCATGGTAACTCCGAAGTCTGACATTGGCAGTGAAGTAGTAATAATGTAATGCTGTGTTTTGCTTGCTAGCTTACAGCACACAAGACTGGGAAGTAACTTTACTTGTTTATCTGTTAAGCTCCTAAATGACTTCATCTACTCGTAAATAAACTTTCTTTATGGACAAAATTTGAATGTTCATTTCCCTCTCAGTTAGTATGCACATCTATTTACAGCATTCTAGCAAAAGAGAGTGCATCTCATTTTCTGTGCTTATAAATCGCTCATTACCATGCTCTCTGATGGCCAATTCATGGCTCCATCTGCAACTCCACAAATCTCTTTGCCCAGATAAACTTGGTAGAGTAAATATAAGGTGCTGAAGAAGATGAGTTTGGGATTAAGGGAAAAAAAAAGATATATCTCACAGAAAATTCCCAAGTCTATCATTTTAAATTTCATAACTTCTTACTTGTATTTCTATTTGTATGTTAGGGTCCAGGAAAATAAATACTTCACTGACCTCATCAACTGAATTTTCAAATGTTATATAAATGACATTTAACAGTTTTCTCATTGTGCTTGAAAAGGGTCTGAGTTCAAGAGAAAAACAATCAAATCCTCTAGATTGGAGTACTCTCTTTCCTCTGTGATGTGACTTATTGTAACTTATGAGGCTCGACACAGAGAACTAAGATAATTGCATTATAATGCTTATGACTTGGGTCTTCTAAAACAAAGCAATCAAAGTTATTACTGTATCCCTCTTCTTTGATAAAGAGATAAAGTTAAATCTCAGCAGCAATGTCAATGGATCTTAGATCAACCTTAGCCTCAGAGCAGGTTAAAATCACCCCTTCTTGCGTATATTTACCATCAACTAACGCTGATGGGATGGACGTCAGTTTTCATGTAGGGACTTGATTCCTTTGCTTGAAAATAATATGCATGAGCAATGAAGCTCCTTCCTGTAGTTAAAATGTGAAAACACAGAAAAAAATGCGAGGTGCACAAAAGCTGCTTAGAGAAAGCAAAATCTGCCCACAGGAAAAACAAAATGTTTTCACATCCACCTATGGTGGTGCGTAGGTGAGGAATCTGGCTCACAGTATATATCTCCTGTCACTGCTGACTTAGAGAATCTACCCAGAGATTTTTTTTTTTCCAATTAAAATTCTGTGTACCAACAATAGACTCTGCTGCAGAGCTTTTAATTAAAAAAGCAAACGACATGATATAAATCCACATTGTCTCTAGGCCTTGTTTGTATTAAAGGATTAGACTGATGAGATGTTTGGATTTTATTGTTCTAAACATGTGTTTCAGTTGGTGCTATCGGACTCGCCATGTGAAGAAAATGAAGTGTAAGTAAACAGCACAAGGCTGTATATTATTTTATTCAGCATTTTCACAATTCGGAGAATGAAAAAAAGGCTTGAATCATTTGAGAGCCCCAAATGAGTTTCAAAGATCATTATAATCATGCAAGAAAAAAAAATAGTAAATTGTTTTCAAATGCAAATGGCTCAGTTTTTCTAAAAGCAGAAAAGATGCACTTTCATTATGATCAGGTTTGTTAAATAAATAAAGGGCCTGGTTGATTTCTATGTATTTTTCTCACTGCATCCTCCACCTTTGAGATTTTAAGGGCCCTTTAACTTCCTGAAAGAATCATGATGTTCTCTGTAACCGCATCCACATGCATTAGTCACAGGGACGATGGGAGGCAGTTTTCTGGATAATTCGATTTCAAATATAAGCAAACTAACAAAGATCTAACGTGTTTTACGTGTACATTTCAAAGTGCTTTTGATATAAGTTATGTGAATAATTGATTCAACTTTCTCACCTTTTGTGCTGGAGGCTTAAAGCTTCTCAGAATTCTATTCAGGAGATGGGGAGAAGGTGCCATTAATAATGCTGCTGCTGATTAATGATAACTGTAATGCACTGTGACTTAGTGCAAGTGTCAGAAAGCACTTCTGCCAAGCACTGTCTTCTCCTGGGTGTAGCCCTCAGTGCCAGCTAGCAGTTTTCAATGGTCATTGGCTGTTACCCTCAAGGCCAGGGTCTCCGGGGGCCGTCTCCAGATTAAAAGGCCATGCTGAGTGGGGTGCTTTCCTTGGTCCTGGAATCCTTCATCTGCTTCTGGTGAATCATCCCATTATTGACCATCTGCTTATGAAATGTGTGCCGCTCTTCAGCTTTCACGTGGCTCTCCCCTGCTATTTCTTTGCATTGATTTTGTTGTTTAAGGTCTCAAGGTCTCTGGCTGGTCTGCCTTTTTTTCTTTCCTTCTTTCTTTCCCTCCTTCCTTCCTTTTTCTCTTTCTCTCTCTCTCTCTCTCTCTCTCTCTCTCTCTCTCTCTCTCTCTCTTTCTTTCTCTCTTTCTTTCATGATGGGGGGAGATAGTTTTGCTTGTCCATTTATTTATTTATTTAAATGGAGGTATTGAGGATTGAACCCAGGACCTCAAGCATGCTGAGCACACACTTTACCACTGAGCTATTCCCTCCCCGCCTCTTTGCATTGATTTTGCCCTTGCTTTTTGTCTCTGTCTTCTGGTGTTGGTGACATAATGGACTTTTGGCTATTAGTGTTCTTACCTAACTGTGGACCTCGTGGCTGCCTCATCTTGTCTCTTCATCTTCTGCCTTTGACCCAGAATACTAGAATAAAGAAATTCATAACTGATAAGGATAATACGTTTTGAATTTAAATCCTCAATCAACATGACAGGAGAATATGGTATTGAGGAACTTTGTAAGCTAACTTTAGAGTCACTGAAGCTACTGGCCTTTTATGCAGGTGAAAAAAATTAAGACCCAAAGCAAGATATTAACAAATTAATTGCAGGACTTAACCTAGTATTAGGTAGATCTTTTTGACTGTATTGTTTTGTGTGTAAATATCTGTTATTTTATCATTATTTAATATCATTGTTTTTGAGTAAAAACAAGAAACTGTCTAAATTAAAATGCAGATTAGAGGAAAATAAAGACAGAGAAGGCAAGAAAGTGGCAGATTTTGTAGGGATCTGGCGTAAGGTAAGTAACTATACAGAAGACAGTATCTCAGACTTTTTGCCGCCACGAGAAGATGGTTGTGGACTCTGTTATTAGCTCTATTTAAATTTATTTTCAAACCCCAGACTATTTTTTTCTGATCTAACATACTCTATTTTTAACAGCATTTTTAGTATTAAAAATACATTACTAGGCTTTTTGTATATAATTTAAATACTGTAATTTAGTGAATGAAATAAAATATGACAGAGCCCCTCGCCTGCATAATTGCACCCCTAATCTTTTCCCCTCCCCAGTGCACTGATGTGCACGTATGAACACAAATAGGGTAATTAACAAAACATAAATATGATCATACATATACAGGATCCTGTCCATTAATTGTACTAACACGTCGCCAATGATAGCCCACTATCTTACCTGGCTTGGGGAAGTGAGTATTTTGCTCCAGTATGCAAGCAAAAGGCAGAGCTTGGATTTGGACCCAAGACTGACTCTTGAGCCCAGGATTCTTACTACAAAACCATATTCTATGTTCAATGTTTAAAAACATATTACACCTGGTGAAATGCCTGAGGGATGCACAATCCATCCATTCTTCTAGATACTATACAGTTGACCCAGCCCAGTTTATTTAGATCAGGCCACCACTCTCAGGGTGATATGATTTGGCTCCCATCCCCCTGCCCCCAAATTATTGTAGCTGAATTGCACTCTGGTCTATATTAAGGGTGATCTTTATGAAACGGACTCATGAAATTTGTTATTCATTTATTCTAAGAGTATTATGAGAAACATTGTTCCTGTTGTTAGAATCACCCTCTTTATGAAGCCCCATAGTTTGAATTTGTCTCTCATTTCTATACCAGGAATAGCTGTGCATCTGATGAGTAATGCTGCCTGTTTTTGTTAATTTTAGAGGACACTATATAACCAATTCTCTTTCATCCTGTTAATTGCTAGAAAGCTTAAGCCAGATCTGGAATCCAGTTCTAACTTTATATATGGGATTTGCTACATTCCGTTTACAAACTGATCTCACTCTTGGCTTGTTCTCTTTGTCTGATATTCTCCATGCTCTCATTTCTAATATTTTTTTGTGTTTTTAATATTTCCTTAAAGCATTTTGGAACACAGGATATTGAATGCATTCAGGCAGCACTCCATACAGTAATATGAGGCTAGGGTTGACTTCTACTGTTCCCAGTTGCAGTGTTTCATGGTGGTAAGAGACATGGACTCTTTAAACTCAAATGGTTTGAGTTTAAAGCCTGCCTGTGTCACTTCCAGCTATGTTGTCTTGGGCAAGTTATGTAACCTCTTTATGACTGCAATTTCCCAATTGTAAAATGAGGATCATAATAGTGTGAACTTACTTCATAGCATTTTAAGTTTGAAAGTGAGTTAGTTCATATGAAGTTATCCAACT